ACATCGTTTCTCAAAACATTTTCTCTCCACTTAAACCCCCGACATTAGGTCCTCATTTTTCCCCTCCCTCCCCCGTCCCCCCTCCCTCATGAGCCCTTAATAGTTTATAAATGGGTATTTTGTCATATCTTGCCCTAAGGTCTTTTAAAAAATCCTATTGTAACATTTTTTAGTTTACATTTCTGAATACTTTTTGTGAATTTCTAGTCGGTTGCTGTTGAGTCACGTTCAACTCCCGGCAACTCCATATGTTCTTAGTAGACCTGCTCCATAGTGCCTCCACCAGGTCCAAAGCACTGGTTTATTGGTAGTGGACCAGTGCTCCAGTCTTCTCACCACTGGACTGTGGTAGTCTGCCACTGAGCTGATGCCAACTCAGCAAGCCTATAGAACAGGGTAGAACTGCCTCGTTGAGATAGCTGTAATTGTTTATAGGAGTAGAAAGCCCTGCCTCTCTCCTTGCACCAACCCCCACCCACCCAAGGAGCTAAGAACTGGCCCAATTCCTAACCACAATGTGTAATCAATGATTGTTCCACAGGGCTCCTGTTAGTAGAGTAACCAACGGCTGTCTGTTGGCCTTGTATCCTGTGACCTGCTTCAATCTAAAGGCTGTTTGGGCGATTACTTAGGATTTGCTGCATCATTTGTTTGAGAGCCAAATTTTTCTTTTCCCGTATAACCCAAATGAAACTCCTTGCCATCAATTTGATTCTGACTCATAATGATTCTGTAGGGTCGAGTAGAACTTTATAGTTCCCAGGCTGTGAATCGTTCGTTATAGGAGCAGAAAGCCTCATCTTTCTCCTGTAGAGTGGCTGGTTGGTTTGAGTGATGACCTTGTGGTTGGCGGCACAGGGCTAACCATTATGTTGCCAGAGCTCCGTTATAAAGTGCTTGTTATTTCTTTTTTCTTCTGCACTGGCTAGAGCTTTCAGTATAATTTTGAGTTGAAATGAGACGAGGCGTTATTAATGTTGTTTACTGAGGGAGATCTACGAGGGAAAGCTTTTATCCTTTTATCATTAAGAGTATAATATACTTGTACTTTCCTGCTCTTGAGCTTTGTGTTATTGTACTCATGAATTTTACCTTTCTACATATTATAACGGGAGCCCTGGTGGTGTAGTGGCTATGCCTTGGGCTGCTGTCCGCATGGTCTGCGGTTTGAAACTGCCAGCAGCTCGGGGAGAAAGTCTGGACCTTCTACTCCCTTAACAATTAGCGTCGTGGAAACCCACAGGGGGTCACTGAGTCAGCTCTGACTGCACGGCAGCAAGTTTGGTTTTGTTTGGTGATTTTTATTCACATTCTTTTACATAGATTCCAAATTCCTATGTGGCATGGTTTTCTTTATCACTGCAGGATTTTATTTAGCCTTCTTACAGTGTTGGTAAAAGGTTTTATTTCCTCATTTTCGAAAGGTGTTTTGGTTGGGTGTAGAAGTCTGTCCTTCAGTGCTTTAAAGATATTGTTCCAAGTCTTTTAACTTAACATTGCTTCTGGGGAGATGTCTATTATTGTTCTTCCCTTGTTCTTCTTTTTATGGGACTCCAGTCACACATTTGTTATCTTGCACATTTGCTATGCTGCTTAATAATGTCCCGTAGCCCAGGATAGATTCTGTTGATTTTACGTAGATTTTATTGCTCTGTCTTTAACTTCACTAATCTTTTCTTCCAGAATTCTGATTTTCTGTAAATCCCATTTAGTATAAATCCCATTCACATATCTTACTGTTCAGTACCATACCTTGATTGTGGCCTTTTTTCCTCTTTCTCTCCTCGTTGTGGTTATGTCCTCCTTGCTTCTTGGAACAAGTGGAGCGTACAGGTCGTCCCTGCTGTACCAGGGTTCCATTCCAATGACTCCCTTGTAAGTAGGTTCTGGTGTAGTTGATTCTAGTATAAGTTGAATACCTTTCCATTTTTCTTTCTTTTCATTATTACTGCCTTTTATTATCAGTATCTAAGTAAACCAGATCTTTATTTTCTCTTGGAGGTAGGCATGAGAATAACACCCGCAAGTTATATGTATGCAACATCCTTTCCGAATGATAAGATGTGATGTCCCAGAAACAAAAAAGTATAAGTAGTTGCCATAACTGGAATGTGTTGTAAGTTGGAGACTACCTGTATTTTAAAAGGCTGATTGCACATTCTTACCATCTAAATCTGTTAAAAACCAAACTCACTGCCATCAAATCAATGCTGACTCATTTTGAGGCTGTAACTGTTTATGGAAGTAGAAAGCACAGTCTTTCTTCCAAGGAGCTGCTGGTGATTTTTGAACTTCTGACCATGCAGATTGCTGTCCAACACTTAGCACCACAGCATCAAGGGACCTTAATCCTATTATCTATGTTGTATTTGAATATGTTTCTATTTGTTGATTTTTCTCTGTTATGAATATTTTCCTGTTTGTGTACATGCATAGGAGCCTTTGTGGTATGGTAGTTAAAATACTTGGTTGCCAGCTTAAAGATTGGCAGTTGGTACCCACCAGCTGCTTTGTAGGAAAAAAGATGTGGCTGTTGGCTTCTGGGAAAGATGTACAGCCTTGGAAATCCTATGGGACATTCTGTGCATGAAATCAACTTGGTAACAGTGAGTTTAGCTGGGCTTTTGGACCTGCCGAGTCAGTTTTACTGGTTGTCAAACATGGTAGATTTTACATTTTTGGGTGTTGGATATTTGGGGTATCATTTTAAATATTTCTTTTTCCTCCTCTGGTGATTTTCTCACACATTCTTGCATTGATTAGTATTCAGTTGAAAACTTGAGGGGACCCCTCAGTTATCTTCAGAGCTCTTCTTCCTTGTTCTCCCCTCTTTAGTACTCAGTTTTATAAATTCTAGTTGCCTTGGTCTCTCTAAATTTGGGGCTTCTAATTTTGTTTGACTCAGCAATACCTCTAAGCTGTGCATTCTCCTTGCAAATCTAGTTGTAAAATAACTGCACATCAGCTTGTAACTTGAATACACTTTACAGCAGTGAACTGTAGCAGTCATGACTCAACCCATTTGTGTCACTTTTCTCATGTCTGCCTCCTGTTGGATCATGTCTTTTGTTGAGAATGTTAAATGTGGTCCATAGATTCCTTGATGACCAAAAGTGAAAATCCTGGTCGGCTTTATTTCTTAGTTATTATGTAAATGCAAAAATAATAACTGATACATAAGTTACACAATATTTTCTGCACACTGGCTAATTATTGTATACATACAGTTTTAATTATATGTAGTATAAGCAGATCACATGGTGGGATGATGAATTTTCTGTTTTACATTACATTTCAAACAACTTAAGAAGTCTTGTCTTGTATTTCAGAAGCAAAACGGACATGTCGGTTTTTAAGTGGCATTATCAACTTCATTCACTTCAGAGAAGCATGCCGTGAGAAATACATGGAGTTCCTTTGGCAATATGTAAGATGCAAATACATTTTTAGGTCACAAACCAGATCGGTAATAATTTGTATAAACTATAAATTTCTTTTGAACATTTGTTAATGGTTATCAAATTGTTGTGTATGGCCTTTAGAATCAATTTTATATTTATGTGAATTTGCTTTGTATATACTGGAGAACACAGTTCAGAATGAGATATTCTTTGTTATTTGGTAATGGGGGAGAGATAAGGTTTCTAGTTTAACTTTGTAATGGAGGACCCTTTCCTGTGTTTGGAAGAAAATATTTTCTGTGCTTCGATGTTTGCACACACACACCGTAGTGTTCTTTAAATAGCTGATACTTAAGGGTTGTGTTTGCCATTTAGATAACGGCCTGCCTGGGCTGTTTTTGTTCCCTTGTTCTTCATTGTGCATGCCTAAAACTGCATTCTATAATTTGGTTTCGAGGCCGTCATTTTAACCAGGAAGAAAAAATATTTTCTAGCCTTCAAAAAGGTAGAGAGTTTAGAAAGATTATGAGTCCTGTGCCTGATTTGTCCCGTTTATCTTCAGTTTACTCTCATAATCCAGAAAAGCACCAGAGCATCACCAATCAGAAAACATTAGGCTGCAGGTACCCTGACGTGTATAGAGAACTACTTCCTTGCACCGTCATGCTTGTCTTGTGTCCCCTAAATAAGATACATGCTCCAAAGCTCATACCTGCACATGCATACACTGCGGGTGCTTTGAAAAGTTCATGGGTGGGAAAAAAAAGAAAGGAATTTTTCTGTAAACTTTTTGAAGTTCCTCGTGTTCTGCTTGATTTCTGTTTTTACCATAGCTCAGACTGTCCCCTGACCTCTGGAAATCCTTCACACAGTTGAGTTTGGTTGTCACTTTTCTTTGTTCTCAGTACTGTAACAATTTGTTTTATAGATTTTAATTCATTTAAATCAGGAGCCCGGGTGCTGCAGTCGATTAAGAGCTGGTCCACCAACTGAAAGGTCAATGGTTCAAACCCACCAGCCATTCCTCAGGGGAAAGGTTAACCCTTTCTGAAACCCTACAGAGCCGGTCTGCTGTACCTTTTGGGTTGCTATGAGTCAGAATTGACTTGTGGGCAGTGGATTTGATTTTGCCTTATTAGTGTCTCTGTCTCTTTGGAGACTGCTTTTAGTCTTAAGTGTAGAGAGTAGTTAGCCTTGGAGACTCCCAGCACCTAGGAGAGCTCATGACTGATAAGACTGCAACATTTGTGGTGATTAAGTAAGTAAATTCCTGATTTACTTCTCATGAATATCTAATGTTATGTTAAATTTTGTATTGGTCAAGGTGAAATCTGTAGAGTGAAGGAACATTTTGTAATTATGCTGGTAGATTTTTTTTTAGCACATGACTGATTCTGTTTGAAAATATTAACAGATTATTCAAATTGTTTTCATAGAAATCTTCTGTGGACAAAATGCAACAGTTAAACACTGCACACCAAGAGGCATTAATGAAATTGGAGAAGCTTGAGTAAGTGGGAGATTTACAAATAAATGTAATTTCAAAATGCAATTGTGAATAATATTATTTTGACCCTCCAGTCCACTTTTAGTCTCTCATCTTCCTTACTGGATTGTAGAATCTTTCAAGTTGTCTTTTTGAAAGGAAAACTAGTTTAGCTTTTTCCCCTCCTAACCTTAATTATATAATATATATCCTTTCACTTTTTTCTTAGTGTTAATGAGTCAGCCTGCCTTATTTAAAGCCACTAACTGCTGTCTTACATTCTATCAGACAATCCTTACCTTAATCTAGGTGAGCAGTAACTAGCTGCTGAACCGCTTGTCTTTCCTTCTGATCGGTTCCTTCTGATAAACATTTTACCGCTTTTTGTTTGATCCATTAGGAAAAAGAATGAAGAAATATTACTTCTTGCCTTATATGTAATGATTTTAGGTAGAAGGTTTTTTTTAAATCCCTCTAATTTGTAGATATCTTTAATTTTTTCTAACCTGACTTTGGCAAAAATTAACTTTAGAGACAACAGTAAGCTGAAAAGAGTGGGGCAAGAGAGGGATAGTAAAATTTGTCATGGTAAAAAAACACCGTGAATCAAATCGAAAGAAAAATGTCATTATGAGAGAGGTTATTTGAAACAGATGCAATCAAGCATTAATAACTAATAGGAAGGCCCATGTAATATTTTTAATATACAAAAAGCTCTTGCAAACTAATAATACGAAAAAAGATAATAGAAAAATAAGCAACAGCTATAAACAGAACTACAGAAAACTATTAAAAAATATGGAAAAGTGATTATACTCAGAAAAAATCACTGCCCTCAAGGCCATTTGACTCCTTAGCAACCCTATTGGATTGACCAGCACTACCCCTGTGGGAGAAGTGCCGGGGGTCTGAACTGATGACCTTGCAGTTAGCAGCCCAGCATATGACCCACCATACCACCAGGGCCCTGCATTGCACCCACTACCAGAAAAATGAAATTAACATGTGATGGATAGCAGTAGACAAAAACTAATGTTGAGAACATTCATATGTAGAGACCTGAATGTGTGTACATGCTGATAGGAAGGGCGGGAAGAGTGGGAGAAATGGACCACACCGGATTGAGCCATGGGAGAGGAGAACCAGAGCAAAGGTGGAGAAATTAGCACTTGCCAGAAGGGATGCCCCTTTATTTTATTGGGAGTGCTTTCAGAAAGGATTGGGGTGTACGCCCATGAGTAGCCCATAGATTTGGGGGTAGAAATGGAAACACTCTTCTGATCTTGTTTTCCCTGTGGAATAGAGGACAGCTTTTCTGTTGTAAAGCTGTCATGGAGGGATGGTGATACAGAAACATGAAAGGAGATGGCTTCTTGGACTTCAGCTATTTGAGAGTAGGCATTTCATTTTAGCCTTCAAAGTTAAGGTCTCAGTAAATACTATTTTACTTTGCTGTGTTTAGTTCTGTTCCAGTTGAAGAACAAGAAGAATTTAAACAACTTTCAGATGATATTCAGGAATTACAACAATTGATGAATCAGTTTCATCAAAAAACAGTAAGTCTGTTGTTAAACATCTTAAAATGAAAAAAAAGAGAGAAAGGAACAATTTGTTTTTGTAGGTGTGGAAGGCCATGTGGTGTGATAAGAGCACAGTGCTTTCAGTTACTAATGAAATGGATATATTGTCCAGCCCACTTAGCATCACTAACTAGTCTACTAAATTCTATCATGCAGTTTGCACAGGGTACGTAGTTTTGTCAGCCACGGTCTCTTAGTTGCGTTGCCAAAGCTATGTTCTGTCTTGTTGACTCCCATGTTTTAGCATTTGCTAGGGTCGTCCTGCTGCTCCTGAACTGTGCATTGAGGGGCACTGACTTGGCAGCATGCCCTCTGCGAAGCCGGAGGATATGTGAGCATTTCTAGGAGAACAGTGCAGTTCTCAACCTCTCAGCTGTTGCTTAAACAGCTAACTCAAGATAGTTCATATTTTCAACATTAGGGCACATTACTTTCCTTTTAAAGCTACTTTTTTTGAGAAACTCAATTTTGACTGTTTACTCAGGAAAATTATCACAGAATAGAAAATTAGGGTGTCTGTGTCTGATTGGACTCTAAGGGTTCAGAGTTTTGTGTAGTGCCCAATAGATACACAATTTCAGTTAGGAAGTAATCGTGGTTATTTAAGGAGTTTCTTTTTCAATATGGATTTTTTTTTTCAAGGATCTACTAGCCAGTTAAGACATAAATAGTACAATTAATTTGAGCGATTAATTTAATAAATTAAATATTTCTTTTGGCATTAGAGAAAGTTTTAAAATTTCTGTTCTTATTCTTTTTTCTTAGCTTTATTTTGTAGAAAGAAAGGATTGAGTAGTTCAATTATTTTTAAATCATTACAAAACAATTGTTTTCTGTTTCCCTTAGGTAGTGCTTCAAGAAGGAAATTCCCAAAAGAAATCAGATATTGCCGAAAAAACCAAGGGTTTGGTAAGCATCTTTTCATTTAGCTAACATTTAAGTTTGAATAGATTATGTGGAGGAGTATTTTAACTGTGGGGTTATCACCAAATGTTTCTCCCTTATTTTTTTCCTCCAAAATGAAAATAACTTTTTTCCCCAATGAACTTTAGCAAATACCCATTTTTAAAGTATGGAAACTTCTTAAAGGTTTGTCTTAAAACAAACAGCCATCTAAGTGAGGCATAACTAAGTCAACAGGAAAAAGCATACCAGCCTGTGTGATCCAGAGATTGTAAATAATAAAATCCAAATCGGGAAGAAGGAAGCATATCAGAATTTAAATTCCAAACTCCTGGTTTGCAGAGCAGAATGGATGACAGTGAAAGCTCAAAATCCATTTATAGGGAAGCCACATAGATTAAGCTTCTGGTGAACCCCCAACGTTGTTAATAGCATTGCTATCAGATAGAAAGCATTATAAAATGGATTATGCTAGATGTGGTTAGGATAAAATGTAATATCTTATCATTTTATCTCCTTTATGACCCATTCTAAAGTTGTTTAAGTTCTTAATACATTATTTCGTTTTGATTGGGTTTTTTCTCGTTTATATTTTGTCATTGCTGTTGAGTTTTGGTTTTGTTTTAGGTGATTTTCTGTATATGAAGTCTAGGATGTCAAGCTATAGAGTCAGTAACGAGATTAATGATAATTAATTACTTAGGGGCATGGCAGGGTTGGGAAGAAATGGGCGAGCTTACAAAAATGAGTTCAAGAAAGACCAAAATGTTTTGAAATCAATAGTGATGATGATTGGACAACTCTTAAATGACTGAAATCTTAAATTGTATGATGTGTGAATTATATACCAATAAAACTTATTTTTTAAAAGAGTTTGGAAACTGTTAGATTGTAAACAAAGTAAAAATCATCTGGAATTTTACCACGCAATTCGCTGTGTAGCATTGATTACATTTCTCTATTCATTTATAACAGGCAGGTTCAAAAAGTTCAAGGAAAAAATGGAGTTAAACAATGGTGCAATTTTTTTCACGAATCATCTGAATCCCTCTTGTACACGTGTGCCATTTTACATAAATCATAGTGTACAAATGTTCTCAAATCTGTGTTTTTCCTTTTGCAACAGAGAGCCATCACATCTATAAAAACCTTCATTATTTTAATGGCAGCATATAATTGTCCCCTGTATGTGTGAGAAGGCTTCAAAAAATTCATTGAAAATGGAATTAAAAAGTACTGAGAATTTTTAACCAACTTTTGGAAGCCCCTTTATATATGCCATAATATTCCAGCTCATAGTAACTATAATACAGATCCTTCAAATCCCTATTCATGGACTTTCATAGTATTTCTAATTATTTTTGCTGTCAAACTTCAATATGAGGATGTATATGTGTGGGCTACAAGCACAAGCCATATTTTACATATATATATATATATATATTTGTGCACCTTGCTCTGTTTCATCTTTGGCCAAAGTAATACCATTTAAAATTCACCACACTGCGAAACTGACTTCTGAAAAGGTGTACCAATTGGCATTCCTACCAGTAAAACACAAGGGTGTGCCTTTTCCTTGTGTCAACAGTATTTTTAATTGTTCATGAACTTGTTTGGTGTAGTTCAATTTAGGCTTTTCAAAATGGGAAGAAAAATTATGAAAGTTGATACTATTAGGAAATTATTTCTAATTTTGTAGAGTATTAAAAATAGAGTAGAAGAGGAGCTGATACCAAGAGCTCAAATAGAAAGTAAACGTTTATAAAATGATGATGGCGACATATGCACAAATATGGTTGAAACAATCGATGCAGCGAATGTTGTAAGAGCCCCAATAAAATGATTTTTTAAAAAAGATTAGATAGTGTGATGATTTACCAATGGTAAGAATAAAATAACAGGAATAGATTGCTCAGTTTTGACCTCTAAGTGTCTATAAAAAATGTTTAAAATTATGCAAATTACATAAGCAGCATTGTAATACATGTCTGTTATGAAATATCAAATAACATAGACAGAATCAGGCATGGAAAGCCCTTTTGCACAACCCTACTCCCTTTTAGGGGTGGCACCGCCCTAGCCCCTGTCCTTGCCAGTCCCTGCATATGTACAACTGTACCATGATTGTGTTCTGTTTGGGTAGAAATGGGTTTGTGTTCCTGTTGAGCTATGGGTTTTGTTTTCATTAATATCTTTATATTGCTTAGAAACCTTTCCATGTCAGTATATGTAGTTCTAGATTGTGTAAATACAATATCAATATACATTTTCATCAACACATTTGGGAAAGTGGTCCATAGGATTTTATTGTTGCATAATTCCAGATTAGCACAGAAGGTTTTAGAGAATTCCCAGATATGTTCATTTGCATTCATGAAATGACAGCATTGACTTGAAATTCAGCGCTGAGTGCTCTTACTGTGTCTGGTTCCGAGAGAACAAAGATAACTGTCCGTACCGCTAAGGCGTGCAGTCACTTAGGAAAGACACACATGCATAATTGCAGTATAGTGTGCGCACAATCATTATAATGATGGCAGAGGGAAGGTAGAGGAAATGGGAACAGAATTTTCAACAATGACTACAAATACACCAAGTAGTGGGATCATGATTTTCTAGGTGGGCCATATTTATTGGCTTACGGAGAAAGCACTTCAGTTGTCCAAAATTTAGATCTTAATAAGGAACTGATGAGAGCTGAGACTGGAAAGGAAGGTAAGAGCCGAATAATGAAAGACCTTGAATATCATACTAAGGAACTTGATCCCTAACCTACAAACAAATGTGAGCTATTAAGCCAGGGAATGATATAGGTAGAATTTACTTTACCTCACTATAAGGATCATAAACCTGATTTCTTTGTTATTTTCTATTCTTGGGATGGCGCATCCCCAAGTTTATTAGTCGTATCTAATAAATGAAAGTGGTTTCTTAACAGAATGAACTGAAGTTGTCCCTGACTGCTTTGAAAGAAGTACAAGAAAGTCTGAAAGCAAAAATTGTGGATTCTCCAGAGAAGCTAAAGAATTATAAAGAGAAAATGAAAGATACCGTCCACAAGCTTAAAAATTCCAGGGTTAGTTCCTTCTTAATAATGTTTTGCGTTTTTTCTTTCCTTCTAGCAAACTCTGGTTTAGTCATTATTTTCTAATTTCTGAATTATTTGTACTTCTGATCCTTAAATTTTGAACCTGTAGTTCTTCTTTAAAATGGATATAGATGAAAGAAATATAATTTTAAGTTATACATTCAATCATATGTTAAATTTTTGATGAATTTCATCTTGTGATGAAAACAGAAATACCCTGTCCTCTTTGAGATTTAGTGTCTTTCTTATAAGACAGAAAGGTAATTATAAATTTGAAATCAATTGCATAATTATAAACTATGATGTGCCTTGGTGGTGTAGGGGTTACATGTTGTGCTGCGAGCTACAAGATCAGCAGTTCAAAACAACCAGCTACTCTGCAGAGAAAAACAGGGCTTTCTACTCCCATTAACCGTTACAGTCTGGGAAACCCACAGGGGCAGCTCTCCCTGTCCTGCGGGGTCGCTCTGAGTTGCCATTGACTCGATGACAGTGAGTATGTTTCTATGAAACACGTCTGGGCTTCTCTGAAATAACACGATGATGGGAACCTAATTTGGCAGCGCAGCAATTAGGTGGACCAGGAAAGGAAGTGGAAATTGGTGTTGAGAACTAAAGGGTGCTAAGGTTACCTGGGTAAATTGGATATTGCAGAGTATTGGAAGAAGCGGGAACAGTCTGCAGATTTTGTGAGGTAATTAGGAACAAGTTATGTTCAAGGAACAGGGCACGGTAAATGGAGAGAGCAGCGCAATATAGTGATGTAGAAAAGGGCAGTGAGCAGATTATGTAGGGTGCTGGATGGGCAAGAGCACATCGTTTAGACAGGATGTAGGGACATGGTGTGATTTGTTTTTAGACGTGGCTTGTTATGGGTGATGGATTGAGACCGGATGGGGTGGGGTAAACGTGTATAATCAAATCCTTGACAAGGTTTTAAACTGTTATTTAAAACACTGATTTATCTTTGAATTTGTTATCCATGCCGTTCCTGATATTTAAGAATTATCATGCAGGAATGGGCAAAGATCAGCAGAACGAAAATGAAAGCCCAGGAGCAGAGCTGAGTAGTTCCTGGAGAATTTACTGGTGCCTCTCACACTATTCACAAAAGTAAATTCTTTGTGAATTAAAAATGTAACAGTTTTAGATAGAGAACATTTGTATAACCTTGAGTAGGGATAAAAAAAGAACGTTTAAGTATTTATCTTTCGATTGTGCTTGTGATACACATCTGTTTGTTTAGAAGAGGTATTAATCTTTGTAAAAGATGTAGTTAAAAGTAGATCATTCCCACATATCAGTGAATCGTAGGGAAACTATAAATGAGGCATAAATTGCCCTGGAGTGCCTTGAGTAGCATCAGGGGTGGGACCATGTTTAATCTCATCAGGAATAACCTTTGGAAGGCACTGGAAAAGTCACAGCAAGTTTTCTTTTGTTCCAGGAAATTTGGCAATTAAGCAGCCATATGATAGGTGTTTTAGACACCTATCGGTAGGAGTGCTTTGTTACTGATCTAGAAACTTAATTGTTCTTTGCTTTTAAGCTTTCAGTATTAAGTGCAGAAATTATTTAAGAGCAAACAAATTGACATTACTGCAGTTACAGAAAGCGGAATATCTGTGGGTTTCTTTTTTTCTTTCATAGCAAGAAGTGATGGAAAAACACGAAGCTTATCGAGACTTGGTTGACTGTCTGCCTTCGTGTCAGCTGGAGGTGCAGTTATATCAAAAGAAAATACAAGATCTTGCAGATGATAGGGAAAAACTAGCCAATGTCTTAAAGGAGGTTTGTATTGTGTGGAATTTTTATGTCTTTATTAAGTTGTAGTTTATTATTGTTTCTTGGATTTTATTTTATTTTTTTGTTCGTACTAGAGCGGGATCATAATGCAGTATAAGATAGCAAAAATATGCCAGAGATGAAACAGTTTTCTTTATAAAATAGCAGTAATTGACCCATTCTAATCTTCAGATGCTATGAATGCTAAATTAATTAACATAGTTGATTGGAATGTAAGTTTTTTCTAATAATTGGAAATTATCTTATAATCAGTAAGCATAAACTTCCAATTTTGTACTCAGCATAGCATGTAGGTCCTATAAAGAGATTTTAATGTTTGTGATTAGGCTCTGCCCTGAAGAACAAGAGCTACCACCAACATTATTAAAGTTTCTTAGACTAGCAGCTTACAAACCATCTTTTACTTCGTCATACTAACCTAACATTGCGTTTGTGTAAAATATCGTTTTGAGGGGGTTCTCTTCTTTTGGGTATTTAGGGGTTTTCTTGAGGGAAACAGGAGTCCTGTGGCATATTGGTTACCCCTTGGTTGGGCTGCCATCCAATAGGACAGCAGTTTGAAACCACCAGCCTTTTCTCGGGCGGGGCGTGGGGGCTGGTAAAGAGTAAGTCTCGAAAGCTCATGGGGCAGTTCTGCCCTGTCCTGTCGGTCACTACGAGTTGGCATTGCCTCCATGGCGGTGAGTTTGGGTCTTTTGGAGGGGTAGAAGGTAAAGAAAGTACTTGAGCTGAAAAAATGATTGAGATGTGGCTTTTAATTTTTCTGTTTTACCCTTTTCTCTTTTTCCCTAGGACCTTGGTTGAGATCCTAACTTCCACTTAGCTCTAGTCTTTTAGCTCATTTTCCTAATGACATTTCTGTGTTTCAGTCCTTGCTGTTAGAATGTCCAGGCAAACTGATAGAATAACTTAAAAACTGCACACCGGGGCATGCTGTTTCTTAAGGCCCATAATGCTCCTAGTGTGTTTGTTTGTTTTCCCCAAAACATCACAGTCCTGATTCCCTAGAATAAGTTTTCAAAAGTCTCCTTGGTTCAGTCAGTAATCTTCTGCCTGGCTTCCAGGACTTAAACCGTTTTATCTCATTTTAAAATTATACTTTATCATGCTCATCCTAGGAAATCTTGTTTATAAATACTAATTAGTTGCATTGATTTTAAATACTTCTCATAAAATACAGTGCCTGAACTTGGAAGACCAAATTGAGAGTGAAGAATCAGAACTGAAGAAATTAAAGACCGAAGAATACTCATTGAAAAGACTGATGATTGTGAAGAAGGAAAAACTCGCCACAGTACAATTCAAAATAAATAAGAAACATGAGGATATCAATCAGTACAAACGCACAGTAATTGAGTATGAAGTCATTCTCGGTTTAATGTATTAAAAGATAATTAGGAAAAACTAATCCATTCTCAGCCACGAGCCAAAAATGACTATTTTAAAAAGCGATTCCACCTTTATGTGACTAAAACAGATGAGTTAATTATGAAAGTGATAATGCTGTGTTCACATTTAGAGATGTTTTATTTAGCTGCTGGTCTTTTGGGTTTTGTGGGGGTTTGGGTCCTCTACATATCACAATCCCAATTCAGTAGCATAATTAAGTGTTTATGCTTCTTTCTGTGTCCTTGAGGGACAGTGGTGTAAGGGTACATTAGAATGAATTGCTTCGTCTTGTAGCTCAGCTGGTGTGTAGAAGTGAGTGTACATGTTTTGTAGGAAAGTCTTGTTTTTGCTTATCTAGGTAAGAAGTAATCTCCGAAAATTTTTAATTTTGTTTCTTTGGGGTGTTTTCATTGGTATGGTCTTCTTTCTCAATGGTATTCTGGTAGGAAGGCATGTTTAGAATCCGGGCCTTAGAATGCTGTGTTACTTCAGCTCCTGCAAGGTACACACAGATCATCTGAGTGCATCATTCGTGACAAGAAAAAGGGCAGAGCTTATGGATTTGGGGTTTTTGTCAAACTGTCTTCTAGGAAAGTGGGAATGAATCACATTTCCACCAACTGTATATGAGTGTTTTCAACTAGAAATAAGTAGTAACTTAAAATTTCCATTTTAAGTACAAAATAGTTCATATATGCCGTAATGTGAGTATCTCACCACACTGTGGGGCTTTCATCTATCTGTTTTTATAGCTTGAGGAATGTTTTAGGTTTATTAAGCAAATACACATGACCACTTTGGAATAAAAATTAGACTCAGTATGTGTGTTTGTAGATGCTTAAGAAGGAATCTAATTTAACTAATGTTTTTCTTTCCTAGGGACTGCAATAAAGTTCAAGAAAAAAGAGGTGCTGTCTATCAGCGAGTGGTCACAATTAATCAAGAAATCCAGAAATTTAAGTTTGGAATTCAACAGCTAAAAGATACCACTGAAAGGGAAAAACTGAAATCTCAAGTGAGTATGTGTTCGTTAAAAAAGTTGCTATCACTTAATCTCATGAGTTTAAAATGAACATGGCATCACTCTCTTTATGAAGATTTTGGGGTAGTTCTCTGGAGTACGAGCTGGCTCCACCGGGTCTTTGCTTTTTCATTGATATCTTGTTCTACCGTCCTTTACCTCTTTTCTTACTTGCCTTTTCCCCCTCATAAAAGCACCTCGTCATATACTGTTGCCCCGTGAAGGTTCTGAGTTTGCTGTTGGTTTTGGTTAATGTAACTGGATAATGACTTTAAGTAATGCCCTCTCAAAAGTATTCCACATCATTGTTACATATATTTTTCCCTGAAAACGCCACCGCATAGAATGCTCCCTGTATGGCATGGGACTTAATATCTTCATAGTTACCTAAAATTACTTTAATTCTTTTATTCTTTGCTAGTTTCAAGTATTTTTATTTTGTCACATCACAAAGTCTTAATAAGAATAGTCATCTCTGTTTGTATCATTTAAAATGCTAATAAAATGTCAATCTTTACCTATTTCTTTCCTTTATTAATTCTCAAACAAGCAGTTTATTCCTGATATATATTTTTAACCATTCTTCCCTTAATTTTTGAAGTTTGATGTATAATCTTTTTTTTTTTTTTTTGATGTATAATCTTATGATTATCTCTCCTTTTTTAAGTAAATCATTTTATTGGGGGCTCTTACAGCTCATAACAGTCCATTCATCTAAGCACATTTGTATATATGTTGCCATCATCATTTCCAAAACGTTTCTTTTTACTTAAGCCCTTAGTATCAGCTCCTCTTTTTTTCCCCCTCCCTCCCCCGGTCTCCCACCTATGTGATCCCTTGATAATTTATTATTTTTCATATTTTATACCATCCGCTGTCTCCTTTCACCCATGTTTCGGTTGTTCGTCCCCCTGGGGGTGGAGCGGTGGTGGTATGCGATCAGTTCCCCCTTTCCCCCCACCTTCTCCTTACCCTCATGGTATTGCTTCTCTCAATATTGGTCCTGAGCTAGTTTTCTGCTCTAGATTCTTTGTGTCCAGAGCTCCTATCTGTAGCACTGTACATTGCGCTGGTCTAGCCAGATTGTCTTATGATCATCTCTTGACACCTTTTGCTTTCTCCTTTTTCTTGTCATAACACAAAACCTCTGATATCTAGAAGATATACATAAATGGTTGCTGTCACTACCTTCCTTCATCTGCATGTTTTTAATTCTAAAAGAGCCACAGTAGACAATTGTTTACCACTTCTCAGGAATACTTGTACCCTTAAAAATCAGAAATATGCAAACTCAAAATTATCTCAAGGCTACTTGGCAAAGAAGACAAGGAGAAAAAGAAGAAAGAAAAGAAAAGAAAATGGCATAGTCCACCTACCCAATGTATGAGACTGCTTTCTGGTGTTCCCTAGTCTTTCTTTTCTTTGCGTGTTCTAGTTTACTTTCCACTACCCAGTTACGCCTGCTACAGTTCTAGAGTAGAGCTAGAAGGGCCTCAGGCCATTTTTAATCCTGCTTCTTATTAAAATCGTGTATTTATTTGTGATTAGAGCTAATAGTTTAAAATCAAGAAAAGTGCTTGTCAGGGTTGTGCCTTTTCACTTTACTTAATTGGGTCAATCAGTGAACATATAATCTGAGAATCTGGAATATAGGCTGTAAAAGTAAAAAAGCAAAATATTGAATGATGCAGGAAGCAATAAAAGAAGATGGAAGGAACACCTGCTGGTGAGTCACTATTCCAAAAGAAGCTAGTTGACATTCAACTTTTCAACAGGTAGCATATGGTCAAGAACCAATGGTTTTGAAAAGGTCAAAGCCGCACTGAATACAGTGGCAAAGAACGATGCTCTAGTAATTGATGGAATACAAATTAAAATATTTTAACAAGCTGATGCAGAGCTGGAGACTTTAACTTATCTTTCCATCAAGAAATTTGGAAGACAGCTACTTGGTCAGCTGGCTGGAACAGATCCATTTTTGTGCCCATTCCAAAGAAGGGTAACCCAATGGAATGTGGACATTTTTAAACAATATCACTGATACCATATGCAAGTAAAAATTTCCTGAAGATCATTCACAAAAGACTGCAGCAGTACACCAACAGGGAACTACTGGAAATTCAAGCCAGTTTCAGAAGATAACATAAGTAATGTGATTGCTGATATCAGCTGGATTTTGACTGAAAGCAGAGATTACCAGAAAGATATTTATTTGTGTTTTATTGACTGCAAAAATATTGGACTGTGTAGATGGATCATAATGAACTTTGAATAACATTGCAAAGGGTGGGAATCCCAGAGCGCTTTATTGTCCTCTTGTGGAACCTGCACATAAGCAAGAGTATATGGTTTGAATAGAACAAGGAGACACTGGATGGTTGAAAATCAGGAACAGTGTGTGTCGGTGTGCCCTTTCACTAAGTTGAGCAAATCTAAGAAAGTGAATTATATGAAGAATAACGTCAACAGAACTAGAGGAAGACTCAATAACAACTTGTAATATGTAAATGGCACAACCTTGCTTGCTGAAACCAAAGAGGACTTGAAGCACTCATGGGTGAAGACCAACGATGGCAGCCATGTGTGTGGATCACACCTCAACGTAAAGAAGATAACAATCCTCAACAGTACCAAGATAAACAGAAAAGTTGAAGTTGTCGGGGATTTCAGTTCACTTGGGCACATAATTCATGCTCATGGAACAGCAGTCAAAAAATCACAGAGCATATTGCATTGGTCAGATGAGCTTAGAACAGTGTTAACGAGCAAAGCTGTCTTCTTGAGGGAGAACGGGAACCTGACCCAAGCCAGGGTACGTTCAATCCTGCATATCCACAGGAATGTCGGGCAGTGATTACAGAAGTACAAAGAAGAGTTAATATATTTGAATTGTGGTATTGGCGATCACATGCAGATGATCCAATACATATATTTTGGATTGCTCTTCGGAAGGAAGGATGGTGAGACTCATGTACTTTGTACATGTTATCAGGAAAAACCAGTGTCTAGAGAAGGGCATCATGCTAATAAAGTGGAAGTTCAGTAAAAAAGTAGAAACACAAGGGTTTTGGGTCTCCACGCCTACCCCCCTTGTTCCCATCCATATTATTGTTTGTTTTTTGTTTTCTGATGCCTGATCCCTGATCCCATCTATACTTCTTGACAACACAGGCTGGTCTTCTTCTCCTATGTGGGCTTTGTTGCTTTTCTGCTAGAGGGCCAATTGTTTAACTTCAAGGCTTTAAGACCCTAGATGCTCCAAAGTTAAAATCTTGTCATGCGAATGATGAGTAATTTTGTTGTATATGTCTTGAAATCCAAGCCGTTATCATGTCTGCTTGGTTTTTCCTCAGCAGCAGAATTTTTCTTATGTGCCAGTGCTTGTACGTATGTGTGTGAGATCATTTATACTGTAAGGTATAATTAACATATATGAGTGAGACTATTGGAAATTGCGTAACTTGTTTTTAGGTTACTGCATGGAATAATTCTTATTCTGTCTCATCTTCTCACTAGGAAATATTTCTCAACCTAAAATCTGCTTTGGAGAAATACCATGAAGGCGTAGAGAAGACAGCAGAGGACTGTTATGCTAAGATAGATGCGAAAACAGCTGAATTGAAGAAAAAGATGTTCCGATTTCAACCTGATTAACAAGAATGCTGCATTTCTGCTGTGCATGGCTTGCCATTTTTCTTAATCAGTTCAGAAAGGGAATTGCTAAGTTGAAGCTAATGGTAATGGAAGTGTCATGATCGCCAAATGTCAGTCTGCACTCCTGTACTCTTGCCGGTGGTTATTTTCTAAGAGTGCACTTTCACAGACTCGCTATTAAAATAGCTCGTACTGCTCACGTCTGTGTTCTGCCCCTCTCTTCTTTCAATGCTGCTTTAAGTAAAACAAAAGTAGTATATTTAAAATATGCAATGCTACCATTTTAGCCTTGGTTGCTCTGTTTGTTGTCATACAGAGATGAGCATTTATTGAGTCTTGGTTGTGTGGACATGATTTGATGGTGGTGGATTGGGGTTTTTTGTTTGGTTTGGGTTTGGGGAGGGTTTTTGATGCTCCTTGCGACAATTCTGGGTAGATATATGTATCTTTAGTACTGCTTTATAGATGAAGTAAGACTGACAGAGTAAGTAAATGAGCCAAGACCTGAATTGTATGAGACAAGCCCTCTTGTTTCACCTGTGCCCACTTCCTTATCTACCATATATATATACTCGAGTATAAGCCGACCCGAGTATCAGCCAAGGCACCTAATTTTACCACAAAAACTGCATTAAAAATGTTCTGAAAAACTCGGCTTATGCATGAGTATATATTATAATTACTTGAAAGAGAAATCATCTACGCCTTCACTAATATCTTTGGTATATGTATGTGGGAAATTATTTAAAACACGTAAAATCCTTAGAAATAATGCCTGGCATGTAGTAGACAATCAGAGTACGTTATCTGATAGTATTTAGAAGTCATAAGATGTTGGGGTACTTTTCTGTTTGCCAGAGAGAAATTCTTATTGTTGGTAGAGACTTTGTAATTAAAATAACTCGCAACTGAAACTCAGGTCCCTACTTTGCCCTGTGTTAAAAGTAGTGGTTAAAGTAAAGCAAAAATAGCTGTATTTGAAACATAACTTTTCTGTTACATTTTGGCATTTGTTTCTGGTAGTTGTCATACAGAGGAGTCCTCACTGAGAGGGAAAGCAGCTCTGGAGGGGGGCGTGAAAACCAGACGCCCTGAGAGAAACAGATCAGGGCACAGAATGAAGTTATTGGCCTGACCCTCCCTTCCTCCCTGTTAAAGTACTCATACATTGTAATCAACTGAAAGGTGTGCTTCTGAGGCTAGGTAAGAGGTCAGCTTTTACTGCAACTAAATTTCAGAAATTGCAGCCTGCCCATCATGGCATTGTTATTTCTATCCATGCTAATCCTTGTAACTTTGAAGGTCACAGAAAATAGAATTAATAACATCCACTGTTTGCTTTTTTAAAATGAACACTATTTGTCCTTCATCATCTTTAAGTTCTTTTTTTTTTTTAAGATCATTTTATGGGGGCTCTTACAACTCTTGTGACAATCCATACATCAATTGTATCGTCATATTAGTACATATAATGCCATTGTTCTTTTCTAGGCATTTACTTTCTATTGAGCCCTTGGGATCAGCTCCTCTTTATTTCCCTCCGTGCCGCCCCCCCCTTGTGGCCCCTTGGTAGATTATAGATTGTTATTTTCATATCTCACACCGACTGCTGTCTCTCTACCCCTCTGGTTTCTGTTGTTTTTCCCCCTGGAGGTGAGGGTGTGGTTATGTGCTATTCATTGAAATCCGTATCCCCATCCTCTCTACCTCTCCCTCCCTTCTCCCTACCCTTTTGGTATCACTGTTGTCATTCCTGTTTTGGGTTCCATGTGTTGTGAGTTTTCTCTTGCCTATCCCTGTGTGCATGCTCTGGTCCAGTCTAGAGTGGGAAGCAGCACTGGGATCATGATAGTGGGGCGTGAAGAAACCTCAAGGAACCAGAGGTATATTGCGTGATCCATCGGTGCTCTACTGCACCCTGATTGACTCATCCCTTCCCTGCGACCCCTCTGTGGGGGGATGTTCCATTGTCTACAGATGGGCTTTGGGTCTCGGCTCCGACCCCCCTCATTCTCACCAACATGTTTGTTGTTTGTTATGAATTTTCTGATGCCTATTACCCAGTCCTGATGACAGCTCATGATCACACCAGCTGGTGTGCTTTTACATGTGGTCTTGTTGCTTCGCTGTTGCATGGCCGCTTGTTTAACCTTAAGCCTTTAAGACCTCAGACACTATTATCTTTTAATAGCTGGGCACCATCCACTGTCTTCACATCTGCTTATGCACCCATTTTGTCTTCGGCCATCGTGTCGTGGTAGCGGAGTAGGCATCACAGAATGCCATTTTGTTAGAACAAAGTGTTCTTGTAATGAAGGAGGGTATGAACTGAGCCCCAAGGCCCATCCGCAGCCTCAGTGTATTGCCTTATAACTATATGTACATAGGCCAATACCTCTTTTTTTGGATTAATGTATTAACATAATACCTCTAGAGCTTTCCTGTTTCTTTTTGGTTCCCCCTGCCCCACCATCACGTTCCCCCTTCTTCCACCTCTTAGTACTTCCTCTCAGACTGGTGTTGCACTCATACCTACAGGATCTCTACAACCTCCTAGATGTTGGCTTAATTCCCTGGTTGTTCCCCTGTCTATGGTGTTGTTTGGTCACTACACCCTTCTCCCTGCCTATCTTTAAGTTCTTAATGTCCAGTACTTTTTTCTATTTTTTCAGTAGTTCCAATCTCTTTGTTTTCTTAATTCTGTTCCTTTCTTTTTTATTTTGGTTCCTTTCTATTCAAACATTTTTTAATTTCAGTTTGAAGATTGTTACTGTTAACTCATGAAATAGTACAGATGAATTGTTCAGTCTCATAAGCGTATTCCAACAAACAGCTTGTGAGCCTCTAAAACAGCAGTTCTCAACCTGTGGGTTGCGGCTGGTCAAAGGCCCCTTCACAGGGATCACCCAATTCATAACAGTAGCAAATTTACAATTATTAAGTAGCAATGAAAATAATTTTATGGTTGGGGGGTCACCACAACATGAACTGTATTAAAGGGTCGCGGCGTTAGGGAGGTTGAGAGCCACTGCTCTAGAATATCAAGTGGAAAAATTCTAATGTCATCTTCAATCATAATACTCCTTAACACCAATGTGATTTCCTCAGGATAATCTTGCCATTCAGATACTTAAGTTAATTGTTGCATAAAAAGCAAACTTTTTAGGTTAATGTTCTGGGAAATCAGGAGTACAACATTAATTTCCTGTGTAGCACTGCTTTAGATTCATAACGTGATTTCCTTTAAATTAAAAATTTTGAAACCAAACTACCTTTTGAAGTCGTATATTTGCTCAAGTATAAAATGTGATTACATAATTGAGTTTATGTGCAGATCAATAAAGCATTTCTCCAAAATCATGGAAATCTTAAACAAAACCATCAAACGTGAAGCTGTTGTTCCTGGACATAATCCTCCATTAGGGCTGCATACTTCTGAAGGCAATGTCTCTCTGGCCTTTCCTCGGAGTTTGGCACACTTCATTTTGTGCTAGATCCAAACGGCACTTGGGGCATTTTCAAGGGTCTTAAATCATATTCCTTTTGTTTCTTTCTTTTTTAAATCATTTTATTGAGGGCTCGTACAACTCTTACCACAATTCATCCATCCATCCATTTTGTTAAGCACATTTGTATGTCTGTTGCCATCATTCTCAAAACATTTTCTTTCTATTTGAGCCCTTGGTGTGAGTTCCTCATTTTCCCCACCCTCCCTCCTTCCCTCACAGATGCTCGATAATTTGTAAATTATTATTATTTCATGTTTTATACTGTCCGATGCCTCCCTTCACCCACTTTTCTGTTATCCGTCCCCCAGGGAGGGGGTTATATGTAGATCATTGTGATCGGTTCCCACTTTCTTGCCCTCCTGGTATCTATTCTTGTTATTGGTCCTCCGGGGTTTATCTCTCCTGGATTCCCTGTGTTTCCAGCTCTGAACTGTACCAGTGTACATCCTCTGGTCTAGTTGGATTTTTAAGGTAGAATTGGGATCATGATAGCCAGGGAAGGAAGCATTAGAGAAATAGAGGAAAGTTTTATGTTTCATTGTTGCTACACTGCACCCTGACTGGCTCATCTCCTCGCAACCCTTCTACAAGGGGATGTCCAGTTGCCTACAGATGGGCTTTGGGTCTCCACTCCGCACTCCCCCTCATTCACAATGATATGATTTTTTGTTCTTTGATGTCTGATAGCTGATCCTATTGACAGCTGTCACACAGGCTGGTGTGCTTCCTCCATGTGGGCTTTGTTGCTTCACAGCTAGATAGATGGCCCCTTGCTTATCTTCAAGCCTTTAAAACCACAGATGCTATGTCTTCTGATAGCTAGGCACCATCAGCTTTCTTCACCACATTTGCTTATGCACCCAATTTGTCTCCAGTGATTGTGTCAGGAAGGTGAGCATCTTGGAATGCCAGATTAATACTACAACAAAATGTTCTTGTGTTGAGGGAGTACTTGAGTAGGGGCCCAGTGTCCATCTGCTACTTTAATACTAGACCTATAAATACATGCACATTGTTTCAATGTTCTCTGAATTTAGGGGGCAAAAAGAAGTCTGAAGGGGCCAAGGCCTAGGCTGTAGAGTGGTTGAGCTAAGGTTTCACAATGACTTTCTCATAGGACAGACCTTGCTGTGCTGGAAGAAAGTGGATTGCTTGATGGGAAAGTAGGGTCCTCAACACCACTTTGCTGGCCCTTTTCTCACCCATGTGGTTTTCTTCTGTGAGTGTTCTTCACACTTCTTTATAATAAATGTCTATGACCTCTAAGAAAATGTATCATGATGCTCCCTGCGGCATTGAAAACAGCTACCATAACCTGAACCGAAGTGCCTACCTTAAATAAATCTTTGAAATCTTAATCCATCTGAAATCTGTCATTTTATATAAAGCTCCCAAACCAAACTTATTGCCACTGAGGTGATTCTGACTCATAGCAGCACTTCCATAAACTTGTTTCAAAACTTCATTAATTTGGGGAGATGTCCACTGGAGTTTTGTTAAAATTGATATTGGCCAAAAAGTATCCCTGTTTCTTTGGAGGCACTCCAGCCAAACTAAGAAAAGTGTACTGCTGAGTGAACTTTGCAGCCACCTTCTGATTGTGGGGACATGCTTAACACTTACTGTTTCGAAGAAACCTATGTAGGCAAGTCCTAGGGTCTTAGTGGCAATACTTTTTGACATACATGTT